TAGATAGATGGATGGATGGATAGATGGATAGATGGATAGATAGATAGATAGATAGATGGATGGATGGATGGATGGATGGATAGATAGATAGATAGATGGATGGATGGATGGATGGATGGATGGATGGATAGATGGATGGATGGATGGATGGATGGATGGATGGATGGATGGATGGATGGATGGATGGATGGATAGATGGATGGATGGATAGATGAATCTGTTTCCATGTTGGTCTCTAACATCTGTTCCTGTGTCTTTGTTCCTGCAGCTCCTGTCCAACGCGGTGGTGTTCCTGTGTGGCAACGTGGTGGGAGCCTTCCATAAAGTCCTGATGGAGAAGACCCTCCGTCAGACCTTTCAGGACACCCTGAGGTGCCTCAGCATGCGCATGAAGCTGGAGATCGAGAAGAGACAACAGGTTAGTGTAACCAGAGCATTATCTGTTCACAAGGGAAGTGTCTGCAAGAAGTGTTGCTTACGATACGATACGATAATACTTTAATGGTCAGATCAAGTCTGAAATTGGACTTGCATCACAGCAACTCCATTTGCAACATTAACAAGGACAGATATCAAGACACAATACAAGAAAAACAAACATTTAACATAAGATCACAATCAGAGAGAAACATGCTCAAAGAGCCTTTAGTGTGCATTCGACCTGGGATTGAGCTCTGTATTTATGTACTGTTGAAGTTGTAATATAAATATGAGGGAGAAAGGTGTTGTAACATCAACATGGACACATATCAGGATGCAGTACATAAAAAACAAACAACAAACATTAAACACAACAGCACGATCACTGAGAGAAAACATGCTTGCATTGACTCCTTGAAAGAGAAACGAAGTTGCAAATATGGCTGCACAATTTATCCAAATTGCAATAATCACATTTATTTGTGAAAATATCATTCTGACATAAGTGTTGTTGTGCTGCAGAGAAGTCCTACTCCTTGTATTCAAAAGACAGCAAACAAACAGAGACGTATCGCTTAATCTGCTATATTGTCAAAGTCTGGTTGGGAATGAGTCTCACAAAAAGTAGCTCCACTGTCTGTAACGCCTATTAAATATGAAATCTATTCAAATCATTAAAAAGGAAAATCCATTTAAAGGTCCCATGCCATGCTTTTCTGGTTATCACCCGTCTCCTTGTGTGTTATGAAGGTTCTTCTGCATGTAAACGGTCTGCAGAGCCACAAACCCCTCAAAGTACACCCTGTAGCGAGTAAAACTCTAACACAGAGAAGACCTGTCTGTGCTGCCCCAGAACGCCTCGTTGGACATTTCTCTTTTTCCATTGTTGTCATGCGGTTCCCGGAAGCAAAATGGACCAATCCGCGGACCTCCTCACACACCAGGACCTTTAGCGTACATTTTCAACCAACAGGGAGTCCCATTGACTTGCATAGAGCTCCCTGGTTGGTAATAGACAAGTTGGGATGGTGGAGAAATGCTCTCCGCAGACCCATTCTCACAGAGTTATTAACCTTTTTCTTACTCGATATCAAGCCACACTTATTGCTTTTAGTTCGACTGTGAGTGTTTGTGTGTGCTCAGGATGAGTTTCGCGCTGTCCCGCTATATCGCCGACCCGGAAACCACACCAGTAAGCCAGATCATTAAGCAGCAAGCCTCGCAACGTCCCGACCAATCAGAGCACACTGGGCTCACAGGGGGGGGAGGCGGAGCTCCAACAAGCCGCGTGGGACAGAGAGTGAATACACATACTATACTGCACAATGTGAATCTAGTAGACCTCAACAATGGAATTATGATCAGTAGAAATGGCCATGACTTGGGACCTTTAACATATATAAGGGGAAATAAATCAGTCAACGTAAGATATATTTCATAAAAATATGTCATCAATGATTTGCATTACAGGTTTTCCTTACCTTTCATTTATGAAAAGAAAAACCAAAGCAATATTTCTTTATTAAAAAATATATATTTTGTGGGGAGAAGCTCACAGTGTATTCTCAGCTAATGTTTGTGACGAGCATATAAATACCTTTTTGTTTTTCCACATCATCTGTGTTTTAGTAACCTCTCTGGATGAAAGCAGACATTACAGATGAAAGATGAAAACAGCCATATTTGTACAATTGTATTTCATCTTTAATCTTTGCTCTTGGCTGGCCTCCTGTTGACTCTCCCATGGATGTTTTCATTGCAACAAACAAATCCCCCTGAAATTAGATTTTCCTGTGTTGCCTTTTAAATTAGATGCATCTGTGCTGGCTTGCTCTTTCCTTCAGAGGCATTTTTAAAACAAATGTCCTTCCTTATGTCGTTAGTTGTTATGTCCGTTGCTTAGTGCGAGACCACTGAGAAGCTGGTGTGTTGCCTAGCTGGACAGAAAGGAATGAAATAACCATTAACATTTAAAACTCCTGTTGTATTTGAACTGGGGCTGAGAAAAGCGGAGCGTGTTGTTAGCTGAGGAGAACATTGGCATAAAAGCACGTTAGGGGAAAGTCCAAAACCTGTCCAAGTGAGGAACCAATGAGGAACTCACGCCGTGTTGGCACATTCAAACGCAGCAGCAGTGAACGCAGACACTCCTAAAAAATGTCTTCGCAGGGTGTGAAGGATGTCAGAAATGTCCCATAAATCAAAGTAAATGTGTGTCACTGCATGTTTCCATATGCAAGATGTGGACTATAAGTAAGTAATTAAAACAGCAATAGACAACTTTCTCTGATTGGTTTCCTTTTTACTAAGACACATTTAACAAATTATTCATACAATCAGGGTTAAAGCAATACATATGTACTCAAATATGTATGAAGTAATTCATTCTTTATTGCTAATTGTAGTAGTAACTGTCCACACCCCTAATAATTCAATACAAGCCGTCTTACCTATTGTAAGATGCTGTCGCTGTAATATGATGTAATGTCTTGATACAGCACATACAGTAACCCAAACACAACAGGAATTTCTCTCGAAAGTCTGGAATATTTTGTGTATAAAACCAATACTTATTTTAGAAAGTGTCAGACAGAATTCAAAAGCGAGATCGAGGCTAATAAGGAACAATCTAAATCCACTTCATTATCCCATAAACATTACATTGTGCAAACAACATTTACTTTATAATGATACGTTAAAGCACATCACTTGTCTATTGCCTCTTGAAAGTACTTTTGTACATGAAGTAATAAAGACAAATGGATAACATTTACAGCTGCACTTCATCAGGTAACATTCATCCTATAGTTTCCCGCCTTCCTCTCTACAAAGACCACTTTATGAGAGGGGAGTTTCCCTTCCTCAGTGGAAAACTAAAAGCGTAATTCGAACTTTGCAAGAGGTCAGCCAGAGTGAATGGAAGCAGTTCAGGTTGCAGCTGAGTGACACACACACACACACACACACACACACACACACACACACACACACACACACACACACACACACACATTCTTATAGAGGACACATACCCTAACTTGTAAAGTCAACTTCAATTATGATGTTTATTTTACTCATTTTAAAAATGAATGAAGAAGCTGGAATGCTTTCAGTCCAAACACGTTCACCTCTTTGCAATAACACCCTCAAATTAGGATAAGGTGCAATTGTATTCCTTTGAGTTGAAGTCTGTGCCACCTGGAGAGGGTCCAGAAACCCTCCAGGGAAATAAACGCTTTGTTACGGCCCACTTGGCTTCTTCCAAAGACACTTGGAAATGTCTGACGTGTTAAAGCAAAACATCCCATGGTCTAATAAACATTTATCTGAAGCCGTGTCAAAAGCAGCAGTTCATCCTGTCAAAGTTGTAGGGGTGTTACATAAATCAGAAATATCGAAGAAAAGAGTTCTATGTTATGATCCACTAAAGTAAGGGATGATTCAAAACGAATAAATACTACTTTACGTAAACTTAAATAAGTTTAAGATGAAGGAGATGATGGCGACAATTGAATTAATTTCATCTTTTATGTGAGGGGGGGAAAGCGTCTGGCAGAAACACTGTCCTGTACTGAGCGCATTTTTCGTGTTTCTTTCATATTCAAAAAATAGGACTTAACGTCCAAATAGTTTAAAACCACTTCAAAACAAGAATGTGAATGTCCTAAATACCCTTTGATATCCCTTTAATGACTTGAACATAACTGGTTCATCCCACCTGTTCTGCCTCGAGGAAATAATAAAGAAGGATTAGGGATAAAGTATTATGAAATCCATATTTCATTAGCTGAAGTTCATATTTATGACGCACAGGATATGCTTGAATGCCTTAAAATGAGAAATATTTATATGAGTTTTAAGCGTCGAGCTATTTTATATTATTTTTTCCTTGATTCTGATTGGCTGAGCCGCTTTCAAAACTATTTAAACCTGTATGAAGTAGTTTTACATAATAGTGCCCCCAAAACTCCAGATTGGTGCTAGGGCTTACAAATAAAAATGGTCATTGTCCACTTGCCAGATGAATGGTGTGTTCAGCCAACTGTTACGAGCTGGATTTGAAAGAGTGAGATGTTTATGAGGTTTGACTGTGTGTGTGTGTGTGTGTGTGTGTGTGTGTGTGTGTGTCTGTCTGTCTGTGTGTGTGAGATCACGTATATTGAGTGCCACCGTCTGGAAATAAGCCCAATTTCCTGTCTCACCTAAATAGCAATTATGCAACTAATTGTGTGTGTTGTGTCTCTCTCTGTGTGTGTGTGTGTGTGTGTGTGTGTGTGTGTGTGTGTGTGTGTGTGTGTGTGTGTGTGTGCAGGAGAACTTGCTGCAGTCTGTGCTTCCTGTCTACATCTCCATGAAGATGAAGCTTGCCATCATGGAGCGCCTGCAGGACTGTAAGGACAAAGAGGAGCAGCAGCGCCTCGTCAAAGACAACAACTTCCACAGTCTGTACGTCAAGAGGCACGAGAACGTCAGGTACGACCCAGAGAAAACTCATTAACACATGCAAAGCTATCGATGTGTTGATTTATTGATCATTAAATGGCCCTTCTCAGCTCATCAGGAAGCTTTATTCCCTCGGTTAAAGTATGCACTTAGGGGAGGGTGTTATTGATCAGCCATCGAGACCTTTTAAGGGACATGTTTAATTGGTAAATTATCAAGGGAAGTATATCGACTCTTTCCTGAACTTGTTCTGCTTACAGTCTGTAATAAAAGAGAGGTTTCTCCAGACACTTTTCAAACTTAATAAGCTTGCTTTTTTATGATTTATTTTCCCTATCGGTCTCCTTTATCTGCAGTTTCATAAATCCTCAGTCGTTCACAGGGAAACTTGTATTTTCTGTTCACTTCATTAAAAGCATAAAAGCACAAAAACAAAAATATGAAACTGCACCTTAAAAAATTAGAAACATCTCAGAGATTTTATGCTTTTTCTATGAACTCGTTATGAAAAAAACCTACACAAAAAAGCACATATTTCTCTCAACACTTTTCATAACGACGGAGATTAGTACGTCATTTGGTTTTCAGCGCATTAACCCAGTTATGGCTCTTTGTTTTACGAGGGTTTTATTCGTTTAGCAAGTGCTGACAGATTTTGGGTCGGCTTACAGTGAACTTTGGCAGATGGTACACCAGCTCGTTTTGTTTTTTTCACAGAGTAGGTAGGCGAAATACAGCCTCTGCCTTATTGTAATAAGGAACTGGCATTATAGTGATTTTTAGGAGGAAATGAATACACTAAGAAGGCTTAGTTGTGGATTTTATTATGCAAATTGATTTCTGTTCCGAACAGAAACACTGAAAAGAAATCAAATCCAACTCAAATGACCACAAAAATACAGAAAAATAGAAATGCTAGAAGGCAATGTTGTCTTCTAGAAGATTAGGACACTAAACCTTTGGTCTTTGCTCATCAACAGGTCATTGTGAAGGCATCAGTCATGTTTGCTGCTATGTCCATTTAGTAAAAGGTGTTGAATGACAGACTGCCTCACTGACTCATCCCTGTAATTACTGCAGACGCTCATTATCTGAGCTTCTGTCTCATGGAGCAGCTCGACGTGTTCAGAAACAGCTGCTGGGTTTCTCTGCTGGACAACAGAATGGTTTAGTTTGACTTTTACCCATCTTTTCTGTGCTGGATAGATGTGGTCATTACAAGTACCCTTCATGCAGCAGCTCACATCTAGTGCATTATACTGTAGATAACTGACTACACACAAACTAGTTTAGTTTAGTTAATGGGAATGTTACAAGCTGGATTCTAAAGAGTGAGGTGTGTGTGTGTGTGTGTGTGTGTGTGTGTGTGTGTGTGTGTGTGTGTGTGTGTGTGTGTGTGTGTGTGTGTGTGTGTGTGTGTGTGTGTGTGTGTGTGTCTGTTTGTGTGTGAAAGAGAGAGTGTGTATGTGTGTGAGA